GACGAAGAATGGATAAAAAATATAGCGATACTCCAAGAGAGTGGCTATTTATGGTAAGATACGTTTTTCACGTACATTTAACGCACGATACATAAGATCAGATTAGACATATTAATATAAAAGAAATGAATGACCCGCGGAGCGAGGAGGCTTTCGCCTCTAAACCGGATGCTGCAGCGGAAGCGGCTGAAATTATTGATTTGTATAATTACTAATCACTTTTCCGACAATTTTGTTATACGAGAGAAGCGGAGCTTCGAGGCTTTGCCTCTGTCTACTCTATTTTTTATACTGTGTCACAAAAAATCAAAAATTTCTGCGTTACACATCGATCGTAAATGGTTTCACATGTGTACCTGTTTACGACTATTATTAACTTTCTGTCAATAATATAAGCCGTATTTGGACCTATCATAAAATTGAAAATACGATTTGCAGAAAATTTTCCCTGGGTACAACGTCGACTGTTTTTCGATTTGCGAGCCATTCAGTTATATAAGGAAAACGCAAATAATTTAATTGTGATTGTTAGTAGACAATCTTATCATTACGCAAATAAGATAATTTTTACAGGGGCAAGGATCGCCTATGTAAATGTAGATCCGCACATTTCAGGGCCAGCTATTAATAACGTATTGCGATCGTCGATAATTTATTACTTCGAGACGTAAAGGACCAATGCCACGGATGGTTGATATAACGTAGATTCATAAATCTAAAGTCGCAGTTATTATGTGTTACAGTTGTATGAACTCGTATACTGGTAAATTCGTGACCTTGATTTAGAATGAAATCTAAAGAACCAATGTCATAGTTCGCTAATAACAAGTTTGGATATATAAAAAACGATGCCGTACGGCGGAGATTTGAGTAAGAAAAATCATTATCAAAGCGTTCGCTCAATAAATCAGATATCCAAACCAACGAGGAACGATCGATCAGGCTGTATTCCTTCACTTCACGCATTAAAGTTTATCGAACGAAAAATCGCAACCTGACTATTATTTAGTCGTACGGCAAAAAAATAAGGTGACTCTTCTCAAAGTGAACACTCATCGTTACTTCTGGGTATAACTCAGTGGATACTCATACAACTATATTAAAATCACAGATGTTTCAATTCAACGTCACAGAAGCTTTTCTCCTTATTTTGATTGCTGAATCAATTTACGCTGAAAATTTAATCTCGAGTGGTATACTGGTACACAAATAATAAAGCAACAAACAGCAAAATAATATGATTCGCTCGCTAAGCGAAGATTTTGCGAAAAAATTATTTTGATTTTCAAACAATTCGTGAAGGCGACAGATTCAGTAATATATCGAGTTTTTCTCATGGTGGGTGTCCATTCTTTCATTTGCGTTATTTCAATCGCCGGAGCCATGCAACCTCGCAATAAGTGGCTAGTTAATAGAATTATAATTCATTGTTATTTTGTATGTCAGTTGCGTAAGTGTTAACAAATAGCGTCTCATGCTAGGAAGAATATACAAATTGACATTTTTTATTGCGGTATTGTAAAACGTAATCGAAGTCTTTTATTGACAGTACTGTGTACAAACATGTATTGTTCCATAGTCATGTGCCTACTGCGCCTGTGAACTCAAGTTCACAGCTGCCCACAGCTGCCACTTAATATTAATGGCACGTAATACTGTAAATATGCAGACAATACAACAATTGTTCCATAACGTGACGTGCAAAGAAGCATATAAAAGAGTTTTCCCCTTTGTCTTTTGTCTCTGACAAAGGCATGGTGGGTTCCCGATCTATTTGCCAAGTGCTGGACCCAAGGGATTCGGCGCTTCAATACGGAGAAGTATCACATGTTTGTGTAAGTAAGACGTATAAACAGGGCTGAGTTGGGCGGGCGCAGAGCTAGATCGCGACTCTTCTTTTACCACTCTCATTCACTATCATACAACAACTAGACATGAACGCTATGAACGTGGACCCACTGAGCCAATGGAGATTTGCTGTTAAATTTATTAAAGACCACAACCCAAAAGCAACTGAGGAGGAGGTTGAAAATGCATACGAAGCATATAAAGAATTCTTTTATAAATACCACAAGGACCACCTCACGGATTGCTATATGGAATATCTTCAAACACTTGGTAAGCAAGCAAGTGATACACGTTTATTGGAGGATAGAGGAGCAACAGGGAATACTGTTACTGGTTTTGTGCTATATTGCAAGAGAGGCAGTTTGGCGTTACCCTTCAGGGTGTGGTAGAGGCAAAGCGCTGTTGGGGCAGAGCTGGGTCATAGAGACATTATGGGGTTTGTAGAACAGTAATGGAGAGAGTAAATGGCAGAGGAGCTAGGTTATATGGAGAGGATAGTTCGAATGCATTATGACATGCATTGGGGTTGGGACATAGAGCAGAGTCGTAGCAAAGGTTAGGTTATACATAAACTCGTTTGAAAGATAAATGATTTGGGTTAGGTAAAATGACTGAGTATACAGTTGAGATGTTGACCCTCTTGCCATTCATTCTGGTCTCCCACCTTTTGTGTTTTCATATATCTACACTCCTTTGACTTATTTTTGTTAGCTCTCCATTCTTATTTACTGCAGATTTGTCCACCCGGTCTCTTTCAGATTCAGACTCCAGTCTCCCCACACTAGTTACGATCAAGCAACACAGGTTCTCACCTGGAAAGAAGATACCAGCCTCAACATTTGCTAAAATGGATATGTCTGCCACTCGATGTTTGATTCAAGAGCTTGTTGGAATGTCCTCGAGCAACCTTTGCATTTCGAACGGTCAAGCTGACATAACTGATCCAAAAGACTTGATTAACGGTGGAACATTCTACATATACCACAAGGACAAACCTTTTGGTAAACTTGATAATACCTTCTTTTTCCCATTAGTAATTAGTGGCAGTTCTTTTATTAGGAAATCTTACTATTACATCATCATTGTGGGCTTTTTGAATTATTCATATAGGTCCAGGTGCAGTAGAGAATATACTAAAGAGTTTGGATCCCATTGCCAAGGATTTGAAGTCAAGAAAATTTTCTCCTTTTTTTCCATATTCATTGAGTATGCCTATACCTATGCTAGGTGATAAACCTTCACTGCTTTTACATGATCTCCCTGAATGTGGCAAAGATGGCTGGACCAAAGCCCAAGAATTATTATCAGATAACTATGATGCTGTGTTGACCACAATACTTGGTGTTAGTGGTTCTGGGAAAACACGTCTTTGCTTTGAAACCCTTTGCCAAAAATATGGCTTCTACATAGTGGCTGCACCCAGTACCTACCTTGGCTCCAGGGACTTACAGATTATAACAAATGACCTTGAAACAATGACTCGACATTATGAGAACCTCAAGCACAACCAAGAAGCCAGTATCATGGCCAGGCATGCTACTGAATGCATTTTGCTTGCTCGGTTACTCATACTCCATCGACTGTTATCAAATTGTACTATGACTCCAAAGGAATGGCTCTTGTTCCAGCTCAAGCCAAAAACAAATTATACTGACGATGTATTCAGGGAACTCTCTTGGACTTTATGGCAATCCACATACCATAATGAGGTCCTTGGTAACCTTACCAATATCAAGAATAAAATTCTTCCTGAATGTCGCAACTTGACAAGTCAAAATCGTTTCATTGTTATCCTTGATGAAGCCCAAATCCTTTCAAATAAGATGAAAGATTTCTTTTTACGAGAGAGCGAACCACAGTCAAAAATATACCGGTCTCTTCTTTCTCCTGTGACAGCTGCTTTGGTTGATGCTGCCTCATGTCGTCTCTTTGTGTGTGGATCAGCTCTCTCTATTCTACATTCTGAGGAACTGCTTCAATCTGCAATTGGCAAGTGTGAGAAGAGCATACAATTTACAAACCTGGGTGTCATTGATAATGAAACATTCTTTATCAAGCATGTCCTTGACTTTACCAGAAACCAACCTGCAATTCAAGCCAGTGATCTCAAGACTTCATTTAAGTGGCTCCGTGGCCGACATCGATTTACTGCCACCTTTATTGAGGATTTAATCTCAGGGACTAGTATTGATTCTGCTCTCGAAAAAGCACAAAACCGGTTCCTAAGTGATGTTGAAGAAAGCTCATTCATTGGTAAACTCACTTCACTTCAAAGCTACCAACCTCAAGTCCTGCAAGTCTTTAAAGAGGCAAGTGCTTCCACACTCCTTGTAGGCGAAGCCATTATTATGAAGGACAAGAAAGATCTGGAACTTATGACACATGGACTTGCAATGATGGAAGAGGAAGGTGATGTGCTGAGGGTTCGAGTTTATGAACCACTTGTCTTAGAAGCTGCTAAGAAATTTTTTGAGCTGGCCAACCTTGAATCTGTTTATCGCACCCGCATGGGCATTCTTGTATCAGATCAGAGTGGTAGTGGCACCACATGGGAGAAACTTGTACCATGGCACCTCTGGAAAGTACTTTTCAATGGTCAAATTAGAGTGGAAAATCACCTACTCTTCAAAAACCTGAATATCCCCAATTTCAAGGGCCCTGTATCTTTACACTTACCTGCTGACAAAGACAACTTACCTGGTGCAACCTATGGCCAAGTTTCAACTCCGAAATTCACTCTCAGTCACTACCTTGACCAAGTCCTTTTGCCAACTTTGACCAATCCTCGTGCTAAATTCTTTTTCCCTGAGAATGACTCTGGGCCTGATGCTGTCTTACCACTCTATGTTCCTGAGTGTCCCCCTGGAGAGCAGATATGGTTATGTTTATTGCAAACAAAACTGCATCATAAAGTATCAATGGGTGATGCAATTGCAACCACAGACCCCAAACATCTATATAATAAGGATGGTAGAATCACAGAACATTTGAATGTCACCACAAAGCTGAAAAAGTTTGGCAAGCGCATCATTCGAATGGTGGTCACATATCCATATGTATCTGTGCAACACAAGAGCCGAGGGCCTGTTGAAAACATTCACAACATCCGATCTGAAAGATATGAACATGCCCTTGTTATTATTGACAAAAATAATGCAGCAAGTGTGTTTGAAGACAATCACTTGGAGTTCCTCAATGCCATCAAATACAAAGGCTGATTAATATAATACTAACTCTTTACAAGAATCCTCTTATAGCATTGTGTGCAACACTTAGCACTAGCTTTTTGGTTAACACTCTTTACCATAGTAAATTTCTGTTTAGTTTTTCATCAAAGAAAGAGGTTATATTGTTGATACTAAAAATGCTCACTTAAAACGATTATTAATATCTGTTTCTTTAAGTTTGGTTGAAGAATGGCTGATATTGATATATTGATATTGAATAGGTAAAAAAATAGTGAATTAGAATCACAAAAAATAAAAAATTGGGTTAATGATGTAAATTCCAAGACTAATACTAATACATTTGCAGAACACAATAAGCATATTAATATTATGGTTTTAAATTTTTAAAAAGCCAGTTGTTGCTATCTTTGTCAAATTATTTCATAATGATAAAAATTAAAAATTAATGTATGGGATTATCTGTATATTAATATGGAAAATTCTAATTATCATTATAACAGTTCCACTGAATATGACAAGGCAATATGCTCTTTGGAGACAGGTTGCAACTGTGGTTGCTCAAAAAAGAGAAGATTGCCGAGTTATGTAAAGCATTTCAAACTTTCTCTAGACCTGAGCAAGACATATTAATATGTTTAATGGCCCAATCAAAAGTGGAGAAATAACTGCATGTCTTAAAAAGAAAATGCGTATTAATAAAAGAACTTTTTATTATTGAGATCGCAATACATGCAGTACAAATTTAGAATCGGAATTTTCCCGTAATATATGACATACACTACCTAGACATAAGTTTGCGCAGTCAGTTTTTCTCATTTTTTATTAAAATACTACCCATGCTGAAATCCGCAGCTGCGCTGGTGTTACCGCCGATTGATTTGGACTGCGGCACCACTGAGGAAGCGCAGAAATAAAGAGAGAATACGTCACAGATTGCGGCACATCACAGTAGCAAGTGCTATGTGAGTTTGTCTACATATTACAGAAGATCATGGAGCTATCCTATCAACATATTTGTTTGAACCAACTTTAGTTGAGGCTGCTGCATACATTATGAACATTGACAATGGGTTACTTGTACCAGATCTACTGACTATGTTAATCAATAGTATCAAAGAAGGAGTTGCAGAGGCCAGTTATTGTGGTGAATTGGTAGCACATTTTCTCTTACTTTTGGCATATGACTATGCCTGTAGTCTTTCCTGGCTATTATTTACAAGGCATCACTGTGCAACAATTCTTGCAGGTTTACTGGATTATTATTATGAGACTTTTAACCTAATTGCAACAGATATTTTCACCAATAAACCCAATGCACTAGTACCACTAGGTGAAGGTTATATATTATAAGTAAATAGATTAGAAAGATGAGAACCCAAGGTTAGTTTGTTTACAGAGACTATCAAAGCCAAAGAAGATGATTTGGAAAAAAGCCTCTGAAAAGATAAATTACTAGAAAACTTTGTGGCTGGACAAAAATATGTGGCAGATAAACAACTTCAAGAATTACCAGCCTTGCCAAACTTACCAAAAAATAATAAGTTTAAACTGTTGGGTAGTAAGATAAAGAGTAAAGAGAACCAAACTAAGGAAGTAGTTAAGGAGAAGTTTAATGCTTACATCTTACAAAGAGTAAGTAACATGAAATTAGAATATCAAATCAGTCAACTATGAAGAGGAAACAGTTGGCACTGTAATTCTGTTCTTTTGAAAGTAATAAAAATTTGATTGCCACTCATGAAATGATAGCCTATAATACCAAAACTAGTGGCTATAATAATATTGCTTATATTTGTGTTGAATGTAAAGGAGATCTTGATAATGGCACCTTGCCATGCTTTAATGATTGTGGTCAAGCTATGAGAAACAGAGTAAATTGCTTTTGTGATTTAAGAAAAAATGAACCAGTTAAAACTCCAACAATAACTGAAATAATTAATAATGGCCCAGAATTATGTTGGTAGGTTGGAACAGCAAAACATAGACAAAGATTTAAAACAGCAATTAGGCAGTGCCAAGGACGAAATTAGTTCTCATTTGGAAGCCTTAGATGTTTCAAAGGATTGGCATAATAATAATAAGAAATTGTTAGATAAAATCCAAAGACTTGAAAGTGAGGTTGAATTTTTAAGAAAACAGCAAACTCAACACATTGCTCAAACTAAGTTAAAGAAAATAAGAGATGACCTTGATTAAAAGTAAGGAAGTAATTTAAATTTCATAATAATAAGTCAATTTTTCTTTACCCAGTACTAGATATTCCTCAAGAATTTCGGTGTCAGTCATTTTACAAATATATGGAGCAATTTTTCACCCTGTTCCTTTTTAAATGCTTTGAATAGTACTGTAATTCTTTGGCTTCATTGTAATTTAGTTTTATATTTATACATTTTTATATAGACATAAAAACATGTCATGACTTCATTCTCATCTCAGCCAACTTTAATGTTAGTTGATATTAGTTTGAAACTGTAATTTACATAAATTTGTATATTAGTTACAGCTGTGATAATCAAAATGTTGTTAGTCAAATTAGTTGACTCCAGTCACATCAGCCTCTCATAATAGAATGATCACTTTATCTGGTTTTGTTGCAGCGACTCTTTTGGTTACAATTATGTCAAAGTAATGAAACGTGAATTAAAGCTCAACGAATACGCTCGCTCAAGTAGTCTTTTATCAACAACAAATTGATGACTATAATTTCGGTAATAGGTTACTTGATCAGTGGAGGTCTCGGTGGCAACTTTTATATTTCGTTTCTTTCAATTGGGTTAATCTTCGTTTATTGTTTAGTTCTTCTTGACAAATTTTATAAGTGATTTTTTCTTTATCTAGATATTCCTGGAGAGTTTGGGTATCATTGATTTTAAACATATGGAGCAATTTTTTCTTCTTGAGCTTTTTTAAGAATGCTTCTAATAGTGCTATAATTCTTTGGATTTAATGTAAATTAGTTTCATATTTATATATTTTTATAGACATAATCCTATACTAAATTCGTTATGATTTATAATGTCAAGTAAGAGTTTATTAGTTAAGTGTCAGTTCACATTTTTGGTATTAAAAAGCTATGTTTTTCCCAATATCATCTTTGCATTCAACATGTTTTTGTATAATATATAAGGGAGAAAATGTCAATAATATATGGGGTAGGAGAAGACCCAAAAGCGCGAGATGTAAGGAAGACCAAATTGTTCAGCATATGTATGAGGAATCGGAAGAAGTAATGGAAAGAGCGCAAACGGACATTAGTAATTGAAGCGTTTGTCATTAGTACTAGTCTCAGTCTCATGTCAACCCAATGTTATCATCATATAACAATAGGAAATTATAATTTGCCGTAATACATAAATAATGCAACTAGTGTGAGAACTATAACTCAACAGACTTACCATAATCAGAAATGCAACAAGCCCGCGATGGTTAGAATTCTCTTTTCTTATGATATTGATGTCATCGTTTACTTTGCTTTGTTATGTGTTTGGGCTCTAATACTAATACCAAGTATAAAAATAAACGTATCGTAATCTGAAAAAATCACACGTGAATGCCATGACTAACTAAGGTACGTGTACAACCGGCATCCAACCAGAACATATTCGCATTCTTGAATGCGCCTAATATTAAGAAAATGTCAACTTCACCAGATTTTCGGGAACTACAAGAGCAACAAAATTCACCTAAACTTACAAAGGAAGAAACAGAAACTGTTATAAAAGCCCGTAGACAGCTTAATACTCATTGTGAGTGGTTTGTAGTTTTGAAAGAGATTCTACGTTTCTGTTGTAAGCGAGTTATTGATCTGTGATTACGTGTTAGCTCTCGTTGGTTTAGCAATTGGAAGCGCGTTAGGGTATTACTATGGTAAGTGTTTTGTTGTTACTGTATTATGTCCGGATCGCGATAGAAATGTTGCAAAAGGCAGAGGTGACTATTTACGTTTTACCAATATCTAGCCGTACGTCGTCGATCCTCTTTCGGGCGAGGGCTTTTCTACGTTGCAGGTGTATAGAACTTTCCATATTATTTTTCAGTTTCATATTAAGTCAATTTGTCTTGAATTTTAATCTTTTACTGTCGACTTTTCCCAATACTTATTGAATCTCACCGATTTACTTGCCAACATCACGCTATCTTTACCCATCTACGGCTACAATCTTTCAAACTCTAACTAAAGGCGGAGCATTCTTAGGAAACAACCTCGGCGCAATATCTGGCCTATTAGCATCCCTACGCACACTTCGGACACTACCTGATCCCAATCGCGTTCTTGCGATGATCAAAGAAGCGCAGTTGCGTTTGGTTTCCGTTAGTTCATTTTTCTTTACTGTTACTTTTTTTATTCTTTACTTTTTTCCTCTCGGTGGTGTGTTTGGCTTCTAGTCTTGTGCTTTCAAGTATAGTTTCTTGTTCATGTCCCTCGAGTGATGATGAATCTTACATATTTCTTTTGCTGCATTGGTATATGAATTCTGTTGTTTATTTCACCCGGGTTTTATGTAGAACTGGCATAGGCTTCCCGCAGAAGGATGTTCGCAAAAGTCGGACGCAACAAGGAGACACGGAAGAGTTGATGACAGGACCCGATGAATATGAAGTTGATGAAGCAACGGGTGAATTGAAAAGAAAGACATATGATGATGGTATGAATATGGGCAAAAGTAATAGTCGAGGTAAGTTATGATTGAGATTTGATCGTAATATCGATACTGGTGTATATTCTGATCTGACATTTATTAACGTGTCTCTTTGTTACATGTACGAATATCATTTATTCCTACCATTTCGAAATTTCAATGAATATAAAATATATACATTCTGTTGCAAACCGGAAAAAAAAAATGCAAATCAAGACTCAAAGCCCATGTCAACATGGGAGAGGATCCGCGAACAAGCTCGAATCAAACAACAAGAACGACAACATCAGCTGTCCAAACCTCAATCTGAACCTTCCTCCGAAGATTCCTTTTCTGGCTATAATCCTTCTTATCAGCGTGGTGGAGAGGTGCCTTCATCTCACGAGAATACAGTCAGTAATGACGGGTTTGGCTCTACTATGGGTGATAGCTACGGCAATAGCACTAGTGATGCGGACGGAGTTAAAGTATCGAGAGTATATAATCCACCGCGTACGAGAGAGGAGTTGGAAGATGTAAAAAGAAAGGGCGGGGTTAGAACTAATCAGTATGGAGATCCGATATGAGTGATGTGAATGTAGTTTTTGGTTTTTTTTTTTTACGGTATATATTTGGTTATGTTTGCAAGTATGTCTTGATGTATGGCTGATAACATATTCGTAACCAATTACTTGATAATAATTACCTTTGATCATTAGTAATAATTGTCCGTCGTCTATATAATACATATAATCGCATTTGTTATGAATTGTCACCGACCATCTCCCCCCTTTTTTTTTCTCATGACTTCTCTGCAATCGCTATCGTCCTCATTGCATCATAGAAATTCGAATAAGCTCATGACACAAAGTTTACTCAGTCAACATGCACATAGTGGCAGCTTGTTATTGGGCTTGGGAAATACGGGGCTTAGGTCATGCAGAGAACTTTAAGGCAAAAAAGAAAAAAGAACTATTGTAATCAAATGATCGAATGAATAATTTATATACTTATGTAATTTCCGCTCCACTGGATTAGCTGATATCGCGTGTAAATTTATATTCTTGATGCAACAAGGCGCCTGCATGAATGTGTCTCGTGCGGTTGTTTCCGATTCGACAGTTGGCTGTAGTATCTGCGAGCCATGCATGCGCTTATCGGTATTATAAGAGAGGTGCTTAGATGGGAAGAACGGAAATAAGCAGAGAACGTGATATACATGAGATGGTCACAAGCCGGCTTTTAAGAATTATATAATCAGGTTTTCATCCGGTTACAACGAATCACAATAAGCGAGCAAGCTTTGTCCGTTGATAGATTAGACGATGATAGCGAATGCCATTCTAAACTTCGTGCATTTGGGAGGGGGCTCGTTCGCTACATATGATACAATAGATCGATAATATATTTTATACGTTTATCCGGGTATCGCGTAACAATCGTTGTTCTCCTAATGCACGCCTGCATCACATTGCGATACTCTAGGCGCCAAACCAGCTTTGTACCTTATTAGTAGAATAACATTATTAAGGACGATAGTTGTTTCTCTGATATTGAAGGGTTGTGCAATAAAAAAGAATTCCTTGACAAGGACAAAAGGATAATAGTTGTTTCTCTGATATTGAATCCTTGACAAGGACGCTGTTTAAACGATTGCTCGTTAATGTTGATTGGTATATTTGTTGGATGCTTTGTCTCTGGCTAGTAAAAAATTGTTCACAAAGCGTTCGCCGCGTTCTAGTACAACTTGTAAAGACGAATAGACTGATTAGATTGCAAATTTTAGGGTTTAGTTAACAACTAACAAAACGAATAAGGGTAAAAAGCTTGTTTCATAAGAATAAAAGTAGCGACAATATCTATTATCTGGTATAACATGTTTACTTAATATAGTCAAATTACATATTTAGTAAATCATATTAACATTAATAATCAATGCTAGTAAACCAGATGCGCCATGTCAATAGCTGTCATTTTGACAAAAATATCATTCAATCAGACATCTTGTAATGTCGCATCTTCGAATCTACAAGTCAATATTTACGTTACTATATTTCACTACATTGTACCGCACTCCGTTGTAAATTAGTATTAATTAAAAAAGCATTCTGTGTCGATTCACAAAGGACGGTTATTAAAGTTTAGATTACAGATTTTCTGTTTTCTCGTTATGTCCTGTAGCACGCTGCATATTTATATCACACAACAATGAATAACAAACAACGGAAGTGAGAATTAGAAATAACAGCATAAAGAATCAACAACAAAGTGCTTGGGTTGAAAAATCGAAAAGTAGAATAAGCTAGTGATATGTGTTCACGAGTCCTGGGCTTTTGGGGGGGTTATCAAAAGATGAAGCGATAGTTAAGAGTCGGCAAAGTATCAATCAGAGCCGTGGTACCTAATTACACTGCATTTGAAAAACGCTCAAGACTACATTGTCGTACCCACTTTGTTTCCTCGTCGTTGCTTGGATCAGGCCGATATGACTAACACTATTCTTCATGCTGTCATCTGATGACGGAAAACCTGAACTATATTACAAAATCAAAATGTTATGGATTGTGCAACATGGGAACACAATCCCACATCATCTCCGATTTATCAGCCGAGACTCTCGAGCCCATTCATTAAGCTATTCAATGGTTGATATTGTCACGATAACCTCACACGTTCATCTCACCATCAATTAAGACTCTTATCCTTTGTTCGTTAAACCCTTGACGTTGCTGATTTTATGTAGCAGGATTGCTGTATTTGGGATATCCCCGGGCCATAAGATCGACAAGAGAACAATAGCAAGAGCTGTAGGCGAGGTATGCATGAATGCAATTGGAGGAGAATGACAAACGAATATCACCGTGAACCAATGTATTGTCTCGAGCTGACAATGCCTAGGTTGCACACTTTCAAAGCCCGACCAAACAGATGAACTCTCATATCAACAGTTACATAACATGAGGGTTATCGTCATTATTTCATTATTTCATTATTTCATTATTTCATTATTTACCATTTATTATTATTGTTACTATTTATTTCAGACTCTGCCCGCATTATCGACTATTAAACACACCCCATTATTTCCCGATACAGAGTTGGACACGATAAAACTCCGAATGGAAAAGGTATCTCTTCAAATAACCATACTGATATCTAAAAGATCGACAAGAAAGAGATGCAAAACTACTGTAGTTTGACAAAAAATCCCACGGGGCTTTCGACATTAAATGGCGCAGAGGAATGTGCAAGACATACAATAGAAAGGGGATAATTGATAAGCGTTTATGGTAACGGACAAGCGCATGAGAATTGCATGAGAATACTGCGATGCGAATGATAATGACACTAACGATTGACATCAGATAACAGGCATGCACATCATCATCATCATCGCCATGTTCAATTCTATTGTTAACGTGCTTGCGGCAAGGATAGAAATAGAATGCAGTATGATAAGTCAGGGAGCCCAAAAAGAAACCAGACTAAGTTATAGGAACAAGCGATCCATTATGTGCATTCTCAATATGTCAGGATCGTCCCACATGTGAAGAAATGTTGGCATTCACAATGGAGACAGAAAAAGTGATGTGAATGGTGTATATAATGCATACAATACGCATGATATTACGCAGAAGCATCACCATGTCCGAACCCATCGTCGTCGAACTGTTTGTTTACGCCCATTATCTTAGACGTAGCACAATCCCACACTCTCACACTCTTTCCCTCGTAATTTTCTTATATAATCCATTCGTGTAACAGCCTGTCAAAATGTAACAATACAAAAACAATAACATTAATTATATGCGACTAATAAGGTTTGTCGTCCGTGAAACAAGAGAAGCGCTTGAACAAACAGCTCATTGTTCCTCCTCCACTTTTTCACGAGAAAAGTTTTATTAAAAATAGACTCTACAATGGCAACCATGGGCGACGCATAACTACAATACCTGCAATGTTGGGCATTCTTCAATCCATGCTTATCTACAAGGACCGACCAAAAGCTTATCTTTCAAGCGAGCAATGCTTATTTTTGGGATATTGTTCCAAGGACAGATGAGGAAAGGCGGGAACAATTTGATAGAGTTGCTAATTGTGACTTTGAGCCGTTGTTCTGTAATGATTGACCCCCCATCCCCAATTGAGATCGACTTGGGAGTCTGGTGACAACCCGTTGTTGAAAGTGGGGGGTGTGTGTAAAGAAAGGAATGGATTTTAAAGGGAAAAAAAATAGACGATACTAGATACATACGGAATTAATTAGAATATTGAATTGGGAAAGGGGAAAAAGGAGGGAGCCGTTCCGCCAGATCGCTTGTTGTTTGTATTTAATATTAAATATTTACCAAATACAACGTTTCATACAGTATTGATTATCCCATCTCTCTGATAATCTAAACATGACTAACCAATTACCCAGTTCAACCATCTCTGATCCATAGTACATTGTGAACAGACCATGAAACTAAACATTTACATGAACTTAATTTGCGTTGCAAAGCGATCCAATGAGCTTGGTTTCTATCCTTATCATACCCTCTGATATTCGTTTGCTGGTTCCCCTCGCTTATTGTTTATGCTATACATACGCACTTGTAGTAACTTTTCTCCGTTTTCTTCTTCTGCTTCTGCTTCTTCTGCTTCTTCGATGTCTTGGTGTGTACTTGTGCTCCATTATCTGTAATTAAACCGGCTACAATTAGCGGGTTTCATTATCAAATGCATGTTTACCGTAATTAGAAATCGAAAATATGGAAATCGGAAAATTTTGAACAAAATAATGGAAAGAGGCTTTCGAGGGGTTCAAGGGTAAATAAACAAACTAAATAAACTAGGGAGTGTCTAAGGGCACGTTTTAGTTTTGCATGTTATGATGTTATGATGTTACGATGCTATGATGTCTATATACTGCGGCCTATCATGTTATCGGTGGCTGGCTGGCTGGCATGTGCATAAGCCGAATAAGCGATTCTCTCGGAGTTACTAGTTACTAAGCACTTTTGCGCCACCAGTAGTATATTCTACATTGGATCTCCTGTTATTTCTCGCATACTGGTTGGTTTTACGAGAAGCCGGGCCCCCCTGGTGAGCATCATGGAACAAAAGCACGAGAGGAAAACACTAACAGAATACTGCTGCAGACGTTTATACATACAAATAATCGTTATTATATAATATCAGTGTATGCATAACAAAAATGTATATTATTTTTTTCCCGCATCATCAGTTATCGATTGTACTCGTTCAACCATAATGTGATTTGATGTTTTCAAATATATGTTTGCTTTTTTTTTTATTTACGATCGAATTAACAACGTTTAGTTGGAATTACATTAACTCATATTTGCTCACAAAATTGCTGAATCAATTTGAAACAAATAATAACAGAAAATACTTACAGTAAGAAAATTGTTTGTACAGAAAAGTTAAAGCAAAGAAACAGCAAGCGAAAAATAAGAAATAAAAAACTTTGAAATAAAAACCAAGACAAAGAAAACTCGAGCGCAAGAAAGCCCTCGAAAGAGTTTGATGTGTGCGTGAAAATGACAAGTATTTCATGCATGAGCAAGTTAGATTCTCCAAATACAGCCCAAAGAATTCAACGAGCCCCTACATAAAATGAGAAAAGAATAAAAGACTAGCATTATGTAATAAAAAGTATGCAAAAATTTACAAATGTATTGGATTTTAAGATATTCCAAATGGGAAAAAAGCAAGACTAAGCGCAATCTGCTGGATTTCGAACGACTCCAACTCTCGTCATACTTAATCTCTCTTTCCCGCAAGTAAATAATGTTATGAAAACAGAACCGAGAGCAAATAAATTTTAATACTGAATATAGATTTGTGCATTAACGTTAATAGATAAATTATCTCTCTCTCTCACTCTCTCTCCCTCCCGAGACTCGCCCGCCAAGCAATTATTTCTTCCCCATCGATTCGATTTGATTAGGTATATAGTTATACTGGAGTATATTGTCTGAATGTATGACTCTCGGTATTCAATAAGAAATCCAGAGACATCTTCTCAGAGCTTCCCTCGCTAGTGGACTTCTTTCTCTGCTTACTTCTTGATGGTCTACGCGGACAATATACATAGTTTGGATACATCTTCATGTGCAACTCCTTCTCTCGTTTTGCCTTTTCGGCATACTGTTGTTTGACAGACTGTGGTTCGTTCGCCCATCGAGCAGCGGCACTCTTGCTGATTCTTGACAGTTCGGATAAAAGTATGTTTGGATGTTGTTCTTTGATCTTTTGTTGAAAGTCTCTGCGATATATCATGAAAGAGTTCAAGGGTCTGGGTGGAGTGTCTCTGTTTCGACGACGTTTCGTTGAACGCTGGGAGAGTTGAGAATTGATGCCATCGGAAGGTGAAGAGGCGGTAGACAATATGGGTTGATAGGCGAATGCAGAGTGAGCGGGAGAAGGATGCGATTGGTATTGGCTATGTGGATGAAGGAGAGCCGAGTTTGTTTGTGATTCGGCTAGGGCGCGTTTTGTTGGTGTGCGCGATTTCATTTTTAGAGATGGTGTTTAGATTAAAAAAGGGAAGTTTTTGTTTAGAAGGATTAAAAAAGTATAGATTATTTATTATCGTGCGTTTGTCGGGTGTGGGGGATATTCAATGTCTCTTCGTGATATGTGATATAAATAGAGAGAATATATATATCCGGAAGATCTTGGATATCGTTAGGATGTTGATTTTGCGGATCAGACGTTATAACTGTGAATATATATATGAAATATGTAGGTAGTATAAATTATGTACAGATAAGTATTGTTATCGCTTTATTGTAATACCGACTGCGGATGTATAATAAGAATCGCAAGTCTACTCTTGCGAGTTGCTTGTCAACATACGTTTGAGTAAGCGTGATGTGATATTGCCGATATGAGCTTGAAAGTTTGGGTTGAGTAGCGATGAGAAATAATAGTCAGGTAAGAAGAAAAGTCTGCTGTTATCTTTCTTGTCTTTTTTTTTTTTATGATATTGATTCGAGTCAACCAAAAAGCTGTGGGCAACGCAAGTATTTATATCAGCAAACAATGGGATCTGTTGAATTTATATTATTTATACTAATTTATGTTAGAATAAGTATTCAATAATACATACTCAATAGTCCATTATATAATAGTGTAATTTATGACGATCTTTTGATATACCCCCAAGTTTGCAACCCCTCACCCCCAAAATAAATTACCCCTAGCATAACATGATATTAACATATTAACATATTAAAATATTAACATGCAACGGGTGACATATTATCTATCCAACAATATCAAAGCAAGCAATAACAATACAGTAAAAGATAACAATGTATAACAATATAGTCACACTATCGACCTAATTTTTATTTGTATATGGGATATTTAGAACATCACTGTTCTAATAGACGCAAACATGAGGTAACGACTTGTCGATACACAATGCATATCAAAGAACAAATAACCAATTATGCTAGTAGGCGATATCGACAAAATGATAGTAATGGTGCTTTATCATTAAATATCACAATTACGGTCCTGTATAATAGACATTGTCTAATCGTCGTAATTATTCAACCGATCGTCTTCGCAGCCTGTTCGTCACTATTGTCAATATCCGGATTAATCATAGTGTGGGTAAAACGGATATACAGCAGATACAGTACAATTGCATCTGCATTACGTATACTACAACAATTGAATATTATCATCTTAATGTAGTATATGATGATTGATGAGAATACGTCAGTCACATTTCAATGACACATATTTAATTACACATCAGATTCAGCCCACACTCCTGGACGTTGTCATCGGTTATGGCAAAATCAATATGTATATAGTTATCAATAGCCACACAGATCTTTATTAGCTGCAATTATACAGTGTCTGCAACAGCCACGTTGGCATTTCTTTCTTTCATTCTTTCATTTATTTATTGCCTTGTAGTAAGTAATCTACGTGACTATCAATATGTCTGTGTGTTCATTATATTGTAATTAGATAACAAAGACAATAATCCGATTCCGCTACGCTATAACCCAACCCAAAGCTTTGTTGTCATTTTCATTCTACGTCATCGTTTAATTCCCTTGCTCTTATTCCTACTCTTTCACTCTTATCCTTATTCACAAATCAATGGACAAACTGTTACAGATATTCCATTCTCTTCCATACTTTGATGCGTTTGTTTGTACTAACGTTGGCATAAATGCCCACAGCCTTATTTCCATCCCGCCGAACTAAATTTATCGTTCATTGTCATTTTTTTAACCCTTGTTCATCAAAACAATACTCCTCACGTGATTATCACTCAATGCATACCGTCATAGGTCCGGTGGTATGTCGATAGTACCCGAGATGTCACATCGAAAATCTCAAGAGCTACGACAATAGAAACACAACGTCGCAGACACCCGAAAACTCACAATGATTTGATGTTATTAACTGACAGTACAATTGTTCTCGTTACTGCGCAACTGGGGGAGGGGGGGGGACAGCCCGATTGTTCTTGTTTACCATCATAGTAAACACCTTGCGATTGTTTTCCAGCGGGAAAAAAAAAAAAAGCACAGACTCATGCATGCCCGCCAAAGAAGACATTGTCTATGGAGAGCTAAGCTAACGGTACGGTATTTAACATCGCTAGTATAATAGTATAGATTAATAAATGACATACACTCTGCCATTTGATTCTTTGGTCAATGAAGATAAATGAGATACAGTATGTCTAGACAAACTAGCCAGCCCAGAAACCAATACTTTTATCACTTTTGACACAAGCTCATAATGCTCCGTCGCTGGTGTTTGTGTTTTTACCCCACATAACAATGAACGTTGTTGTTGATTTTCTGCTGCGGATCGCAGAAAACAATAGGAAAAGCCAGATTGTAATAGGAATTACTTTAATAGTTATTTATACGGTTATCTGTAATAGCGTAACCGATATGTTTAAATGGGAAAAAAAAAATTCTTATTTTATGCTTCCATGTTTCGAAAGACATGCTTTGTGGCTTACGCAGCTGAATTGACAAATCTTAAACACTATATAAAGTAATTAGTTTATAGGAAGGCATCGACAATAGCCGAAAAGTGAACAATTAATAGTGCAAATGGGCAATGGCATACAATGTGTATAGTATAAAGATATGCAGTGGCAATATAAACTACATAAATAATATAGTACAAATGTATAATAACGGATAATACGCTGCAGTTATGTAGTGTGCTATGTAGTGTGTGTTATGTAGTGTGTATTGGTGACATGATATATATTAAATTGCTATTAATAGTCAGTACCCCATAGGATAAATAATAAATAATTGATCTGTATTGATACACAACATCCTATCTATTGTTAAAATCATTTAGACATATCGTTGACTGCCTTAAAAGTACAAATTAGCCTCTTTTCAACTGGGGATTAACACTTGGACAACAATAGGATAATGGATGATCATCGATGCCTAGAGATAACAGTAGTTTTGTCAGATGCAATTTAATATAAACGAATAATACCGCATAATCAACATGAATCAACATAAAATAACGTAAACTAAACAACATAATTATATTGTTTATGGTATGGATCATATGGAAATACTTTCACATCGTTTCATCTGCCATATGTTACTACCGCTGCCTGTTCGTCTATCATTCTTATCACACACGCAACTTCCCCACATCAGTGATGCACAGCATCGGGTTAATAACGCCCGTCGATCGTCCGTGTTTTCTGCCATTTGTATCGGGGTTCGGTGAAAAAGATACGAGTCCAAGTGCAAGAGAAATATATCCTTATCGATAATTAATATATTGCACATGACTCGGTAATATCAATGCAATATTAATTGCTGTAGAATTCCCGTTGCTAATACACACACACATACATATACAACACACAGACAGACAACACATATACAACACATATACATACAACACATACATACAACACATACACATACAACACATATACAACACACGCCATATCTCGTTTGATGATCCGTGTATAATTAACTCTTGCAACGAAAAAACATATGATTAATATAATAATACAACACATTATTAATATCTAGAGTCTTCGAACGTCAATTCGGGATTGCTTCTATTTGCATATAATTAGTAATAATGATAAGCAATAACGGATTCGCAAGCGTACGGGTATCGTCATAGTGGAATGGAGATATACATATGCCAGATGGATACTTTAGGAAAGATAATAGTGGGGTAATAAGGAGTAATAATATATGATAGCCATGTCAATCGCAGATTTAATAGATGGAGCTTTTCCCGTTATTGTTAACGCGATGTGTGAATGCCTTGTCTGCCTTGCCTGCCTTGCCTGCCTTGCCTGCCTTGCCAGCCTTGCCTGTCTTGTCTGCTTTCTACCCTGCCTACCTTGCCTGCCTTGCTGCCTTGCCTACCTTGCTTCGGCTTTTTCTTTGTAAAAAAATATAGTTTGAAAAAGTTGGTCGCTGAGGTGATACGATTGTTCATGAAAACCAATCAATTTACGACCATACGGAATTAAGCTCAAACTCTACAGATTGGACGTTCCGGATTCATACAAATCATCAACACGCATCTAATAATGACTATTCTGTAATCACATAGCTATAAATATTCCTAACAGTAACTCGTTTTATTTTATTAATAGTTATATAGCATATTTGCTCTTGTCGTCATTTATTGCCACGTATTTCAAATTGTTCCTTATCAATCTCTGAATGGGGACATCTAATTGACCCTATGACCATTGTTCTGCGCTCGAGTTAACAATGATGGTTGGGGTTTTTCGAGCTGTCATTTACTCTGCTTTTGGATGTTTTGTTATACATGTCCGCAACGGATTAACCGGTAACGCAGTAATATATCGTATATAGTTATTGTGTAACGCACGGGAAAAAGTTATCGAACACAAGATGATGAATGTTTAATAGTTTTAGGTAATGTTGGTAATTTGGTTAGGCAACGTCGGAACAGAACCTATGTTGATGTAGAACAGGTATTATTAATAGCATACACATGAGGTTAATCACTGGGGTTGGCTAGAAATAGGTAATAATCATGCTGGGCTATTCAGTGCCCCCATTTTAATAATAACAGCAACAATAATAGTAACAATACCACCCACACGAGTTTTATGTCCATCACATGTCACCTCATAAAAATAAATATCAATCGTAATAATAATAAATATTAATAAATAGCAAATAGCAAATAGCAAATAGTAAACAACCATAACCCTATTACTATCTAATCTTACCAATGGCGTACACATGATTTCGGTTCACCATTTGTAATTAACTCCATATAGAAATAACACTTATTAACACATCTAACAAGAACGTTCGATCCGTTTGTTATAATCTCGAGTTGTACCGACATTCTTATCAGCTTTTAACACCGTAAATGGTCAGACATATAGCCCATTCTCTTCCATCCACAACCCATCCACAACCATCCACAACCCGTCCACAGCCCACCCACAACCCACTTGCCCAGCTCACAATAGCACACTCGGGATGATTCTTAGCCTTCTTCTCGCCATTGCCACATAATTAACATTTGCTATTCAGTTGTCTATTTTTGTCAGTTTTGTAAACTTTATTTGGCAAAATGGGCGGGAAACTTGAGGTGTTAAAACTGACGAATTAGGATAATGACATAATGTTAATGACAAAGCGATATGAGGCTAATTGTGTTAACAGTGATGTCAATTGTTATATGCGTATTACATGAGGGCGGAATTGAGTCGACAATACTATAGATGGGAATTCAAGAATGAGATTAAGAATAAAAGACACAATACTGTGCTAGGGGTGATACCAATATGATTGAGTATAATAATAGATCTCAATGGTGATGGTAGTGGTGTGGTAAAAACGGTAAAAACCTGACCATCAACAATCGATTATTAATTATAAGCAACGGAAGGATCGGATAATTAAAATATGATAAGTTATTACTCATATATTAATTATATATTAATAATCAATTATTGGTATTTATTACATCACCAAGATTTCCCTGACCAAGAAATGATTATCTTTTCTGTATACTAATACAATCGCCGATTTTCGGAATTAAAGTGATAACACATATCACGTGACTAATAGGGGGTTGTTTATCGTGATATCATACAAATGGACTAATAGAGTTGTTGCATGAACATGAGCATAAGCATGTAATATATATACATATATATACATATACAAGATATCATAATATAACAAATCTGCGATTATTAAAGTAAACCACTAATTATGTCATATTAATGTTATCTCTTCACAATGCATACAAGGCATATTTTCATTCAGTTGTCCGCTCTGACTAAGCAATTATATACGCCAAACTCACTCAATAAGTGCATCCACATTCAGCCCCCCACTAAATAAATTCTGTACCATTGAGCTTATTTTTTCCTCTTCCACATTCACAATGGCACTGACATATGTATTATCTATAAATATTCCTTTCGTCCACTTACCATTATCCAATCATTACAAAATAAGCCAACTTGGCGTCATAACAGACGCCCACGCTTTTTCACTGTGCTCATACTGAAATCATTTTCATCATCACAGTCTGCTTCAGCTATCACAACAATGGACCATTATTTCCCGAATCAGTGTCATTAAGCCATCCCAAGAAAATCGTTCGGCCATCTCCAATCCGATTTCCATCGACGTCATTGTCATACAAATAATGGACAGAAATACAATTTGAATAATGTGACAAAGCCCATTCCCATAATGACAACTTGTGATTGTAACGAATTTAGTGCTGAATAACAAGATGTAGACAATACAAAATGTTTAAATATAGTTCATGCGTTGCATGTATATAATTATATAATGTGTATATAATTATATAATGTGCATTAGGTATATTATGTATATTATGTATATTATATATTATATATTATATATTATATATTATACAGTTCATTATTAACATGTTTGTATTAACCAGATTCTACTGTCAAAAATCCCCCCTCTTTTCCCCCTATCCTTCGATTTCCAAATCCACACATAGCTGCGGAGAATTTACTGTGGAGAATAGGTTAAACGCCCGACAGAAAGACCTCGTGGCCTGGGTCAGTGCGCTTTGTTTACCATGATTGTAAAGCCTTATCTCCAGAGGACATACACTTATTGCTCATTTTAGTTATCGGGGGAGAAAATGGACCTGACCGATGAACTATAAGAATGCATGTAGTGCATATAATGAAAAGCATGAATAAGAGCTGGGGTTGATTGTGTTCTGCGGAGTGATCAGGATACAATGTCCAAATAATCTTGATGTAACAGTATTCATTTTGTAATATTGCCCCGGAGTGATTGACAGTTTCTCCACAATCGATTAACCCCCTCCCATTCAATAAGGATAATATCTTGCTTTTCCAAATGGACAATGAGCCAATAAAGAACTGTTAGTCGTCATTGAATAAAGTACACAACTAACTAAAAACGACTAAAAATCAAAAGGTTTAACCTCTTGTGTTAATTGAATTAAAAGAAAAATATTGCCAATCTGATCACTTTTCCCACCTCCTTTGTTTCAACCCCATTCCCTTCATACTATCCATTCTGCAATTTCATGCTTTCACGCTAACGTCCGAATCTTTATCTTTTATTCTATTACCCATAATAAAGAATTCCCATTAACACAATGAAATAGAACTTGCATGCATATATGCGGATATATCTGATACTACACAATGCTATACGATGCACATATGCCTTGTTTGACTAATTTGATAAATTAACAAGGAAATTTAGGCAGACAGTGATTGTTCAACATTTTTCGATTAGGGAAACTCTTATGCAATTCGGAATAAAGAAGAGAGAAGAGAAGCATGTTAAGAATTGTTTGCAGGATGAATGAATGTGCGTCATTGAAAAAACTGGACATTTAAAAATTGTTGACCCCTACAATAAGCCGTCGTAATCGTTCACGATAATATACATTAACATTTTTATATACTTATTACCCGAGGAATCACTGTTAACCATAGACACCCCCGTTCCTATTTGACCCCCCCCCCTCTATTCCCCCTATTCCCCCCATCCACCCATTCCCCCCATTCCCCCCATCCACCCATTCCCCCCATTTCCACTCCCAACTCCCTACTCCCCACTCTCGACTTACCCTGTCCATTGATCTACTCATCGCGTACAAGTTTTCCCAATAACCGTTACTTGTGCGAATTGTTCTTTATCTTTTTGCTTACCAATAAGCGAAAACAATACTAATCCATCTTTGCATTGGGTTGATCGGTGGAAAATGATGTTACCAATTTAACAAATTTGCAATTTAACAAATGACTCTTGAACTGGATTGTTGTCTCAACAACGAATGCAATTATTGGTGCCGGAAGGAGGCCTTGTCTAGTCGGTTAAATGAGATGCTTATCTTGCATAAGAGATCTTTATGCGTAAAATTTGATCACACGCATAATCCAGCCGTTCCTTGTAAACGCACAAACATCTTCTTTGTTGCAAAGATATCTCACAATCTTACATCGAACAAAAGCTTGAATGTAAGCGATACGTTCAGCAAGAGTAAATTGCCAAGTCCATTATCATGACATAAAGCATATATACGCGATTACACTGTAAAAAGTGATGAACGGAAACACAATTGTTGTTGTGTAAGAATAGGCCTTTGTTGTGGTTAGGGGACCGTACTGGACTGATGCACATCAGATGGGCTGTTGTCAAAGAAAAGTATACGCTTACAAGTGAGAGATATTGTTTTAACCCGAATACTTTGTATATTCGCTTTATCCTCATTTGTAATTTTTTCGGTTTAAGATTTTCTGTCACTCTGTCACTATGAATTGCGCAAGAAAAACCTTACGCATAATTAGTGGTCCCTTCCCAAAAAGTAGAACACGAAACAGCGATACGGGATAGGTGGTCAGTGGGAACAATACTAAGAGAGACGGAATAATCATTTATAGTTAATATTAATTAACGTAATTTGTATGTAATCAATATGCATATTGAAACATGCTTATTAGTTTGTATGATTGTTGGATGATCCCGTAGGTGACGCCACTGCTGAGAATAGTATGTAAATAGTAGGTACTAGTATGTTGTGAATTGTGTTGATGTGTTTGCGCACTGGACTGGGTAATGTAAGATTGTTTTTTGTTATGATTACAGTGCAGTCGAGTGTGTCGCTCTAGATAGGCAAGAATAATACTAAGATTGATTGTCAGCATTATTATTATATGCACCATTTATTTCTTACATCGTCGTATATCCCATATTTGTAGAGATCAGCATTGGCATTAATCCTTATATGGACAGCTGTAGTATGCGGATTACCCATGCATAAAACATTGTTCAAGAATTAAGGTTTGGGGTGTCCGGATTATATTAATTATAGCGGGAATAGTCGAGACAGCATTTCATTACGTTGTGTAATAAATAGTTCATAATATAATATGTTTGATTATATAAACTGAAGTTAGCGCAGCGCTAGCGCATGTTGTTGGTATTGACAATGTTTACATTACACATTTAATAAATAAGAAGAATTGTATCAATCATCAGACCAAAAACATTCTGACATTCCGCTTTGCCTTCGCCCTGTGATGATTTATCCTGTGTTTCAGACTACAACAAAAGACAAACAAAACAAAGTGAACCATTACGCCATGAGGAGTCAGGAGTCTGTTAATCCAAAAACTTCAAAACAAAAGGAATTAACCAATAAATCGATCGTTTCAAAGATGATTGTTCATAAACCAGTGTCTTAATTCTCATTATTTAGTTAATTCAGGCTTTTACTTTATTACTCTAGGTTTACTAAGAATAGTCTGACTTCTTTATGCTTCAAACTATGACCTAACAATAGCCTCCAACTATTTCCAAATTTATTATATTTATTGATATTTTGCGCAAATTCCGTGTTATTTACTAAATAATAATAATAAAAGTTGACCGAAAATGACGACAAGTAAAACTAGCATCTACTCCTCTCTGGATGTCATAAACTGGCGACCTTTTATAATGTGTGTATGGCTATTGACTAATGTCTTTTTACTCCTTATGTTGATATTGAATCTAGTCCAAAATCTTTTTTACAACTGACTTGCGGATTTTGGTTTCGTTACAGCCATCTAAACGATGCTATTAACCATAGTTTATTCAAAGTCCATTATATCTTTTCTTGCTACTCACCGCTTCTTATTTCTTACAACTATTGATAGCCATCCGAGAACTGCAGATGCCAAGTGACCATTTGCATAGGTTTCCTTCGGCTCATTAAGTAACAAGTTCGTGATCAATCATTCGAAGATGCTGTCATCACTGGAGATTGAGCTTTTACTGAACAAGCACCCATATGTGAACACTCAAGGCAATTACTATCACTGGATTACGCAAGTCCTAGTATACGCAGGCACTGGATTACGCAAGTACTAGTATACGCAGGTACTGGATTACGCAGACACTTGGATTACGCAGGCGTATATGCAGCCAGTCGGTACATAACAAGTGGACGCTTCTACTATATTGGGAAAGAGCTCTCATTAATGACGATGTATAAACGAAAATATCAGCATTGAGTCAAATAAATTATTCGGGCCGTTATTTCGGTTGTAAACGCGGGGCGATGACGGATGCGTAACGGCTGCGTGACGGCTGCGTGACGGTTTCTCACACCACTTTATGATTGTATTTAGTAATCATGCCAGATTCGTGTTCCCTATCATGCGTCTAGGCGAATAATGGTGATAATGACAGAACTTCTTCAGAAAGTCAAAGTTACCGGTGCGAGTAATGAGTAAAGATGCTTTGCGTGGCGTTGTATAATCACTCTGTCCATATTGTCTTTGAGCAAGTCAATCTTTCGACAAGGCCCCCACCGTAGATCAGAATATTCAAAGAGTATTATACTTGCTTCATGACGCCAGGGAACTGTCTGATACTAAAACGTTCAATTATGCGTATTTTCACATTATAATGTGAGCGGAAGCAGTCGATGGACATCTCAGCTAACATCTCAGCTTAACTTATGGTGAGGCCATGTCTAAGATTATAACAGTCGTTATCCTAGAACAGCGTTATTCATGCTAAGGTCGGATACGTAGGTAACTTTCTTCGATGCAAACGTATGGTAAAATTATACGAAAGCAGGTTTTTAGTATTAACAACGTTCATGTATTAGGTCGAACAAATTCATTACCGACGCTGAATGTGTAATTCAATCGAGCATAAAATGATTCAAGCTTACCAAGGTCAAAAACAAACTTGCGACAAGTTTGTCGTAATTTTGCCTTAGAACAGGTTTAAATCAAAAAGCTACTGATTATGAAAAAATATTATATTACCACAGATCAAAAAAGCCAAGTTTTGAGAAATGGTTAAAATTAATTTACCAAGGATTTCACAATTTACTGGTCTTGCGGACACGAAACAGCATTAGCCGAAGCTATAATAGAATATTTAGAGCAAAAGGGGCGGTTTTCTTTACTTTAACTGAAAATTTTTTGGGAAAAAGAAAGGTTGGCCTCCTGCTCTGAACTAACCAACCAGCTTTGTATGCCTTAGTTAATTATAATAACAAATATTTGATAATTCTCGAAAATCATTTTGCTTTTAGGAAAATGACAAGAAAGATTATTAGGTTTCATCCTGATCAGAAAATGCTAAAGGATATATTGTAATTTATTGAGGAGAAAAAAACTGGGATAGTTTATTTGGCTCCGGCTTTTGGAGCCGAAGATTTTGCAGTGGCGAAAAAAGGAAAAATTGGTTATTGAATGCCCCCTCGAATCTAATAGCTTATTTAATAAAAAATTTTAGAGTCCCAGAATTAGTTGGTAAACTTATTCAGAAGTCAATCAGTATGTATTACTGATTTACAAGAAAAATTTTAATAGTAAAAAAGACAGAAATTATCCATAGCTATCCTTGCGATTGGCGCGATAAAAGTTTCGTTAATCTAAACAAGAAAAAAGGGAATTACTAGAAAATTGAAAAAGTAATAATTGAACTGAAATAAAAATTATTGATCTAATAAAAAGTGAAGGAATAAAAAGCCAGAATAGTTTGGTATACAAATTAGTTAGCGAATAAAACAACATAATTTGATTTTATGTTTAAAATCACTGAAGTTAGGTTACCAAAAAAACAGTATAGTATTGGAGACAAAACTTGAATTAGGTCATGGAGAATACGTTGATATTTTTGTCGAGCCAACTACGCGGGAGAGCCATGGGTTTAGCTCTTTCAATCGAGTTTGGCTAACCTCTCCTCCTGCTTAAATCGCTGATACAGTGATCTTTATTGCTGGCTTTAAATACACCCACAATTAATCGGTCTGTATAACGCAGGTTCTCGATTGCTCATTACTCTGCAGACAAGCCTTTTTACCTTTATCGACGGGATATTTCGATAGTCCGTAGGAAATCCGGGTTTACGGCTACAGAATCACTGAATATGAAGTGGCCAGGAATAATTAATGTCCAATATATTTGTACAAAATAATAAGCTAATAGCAGTACAAGTGTTCGAAGAAATGTTCAGATTCAAAGAACGAAATCCAAACTACAAGCTGAAAGCGATGTTGGCTAGCAAGACTACCTCAGCTTATATATCTTTCTGTCGTTCCACTAGCTAACTATCTAACTATAGATCTAAATATACGTTGGCATTAATTAATTTACAGTAGTATGTGCCGATAAAACAATGCTTGTAATCACGACACGTGATTCGACTCCACGCGTTAGGAAAATTTTTATTTTTTTTCCAGCCCTCATTTTTCTTTTAATCCTAACTCTTAACTTCTGAACCGCAGACTTTTACATTTACCGCGCCAGTAGGAATAACTTAAGTCTCTCCGCAGATTGAGCACTTTCACTAAAAAACCTGGTTTATTACAGGCGGGGGATTTGAAGAAATCTTTATAGTATTTTTCTAGCTAAAGGGTTCATAATGTCAAGGAACAATGACCTTCCCCTGGAGCGATCTTGTCGCACAAGGAAATAGTTCTTTGCCCGAGCGGGAAGTATGTTTCATCTGCGAGTTGAAGCACAGCATAATTAGCTCTATTGGCATTGTTTATAACCGAGCCCTGCAATTATGTTGAGCGATCTTGTACAAAAGGAAAAATGCTTTTTTGCCTGAATTACAATCTGTCAACAACTCGTCAACTATATTAGATTACTCGTAATATATACCATTCTGTAAAAAGACCATTTTAACATCGATACCCCACAAAACTCGGAAACTGGCTGTTGAAAATCAAATTAATAAGCCTTTAATTTTATTTATATTCCAAAATCCTGTTGTAATGTTTCCTACCGGAATACTTGCGGCAACTGGAGCAGTTATAACCGGATTTCTATTACTATTACTATATAAAGTTTCAAACAACGACTATTTTAATTTACAATTATACACATTGTACTAAATAATAACATTGAAGCGGAAGTCCGATGAGCCTGATGATCATGATAATGATTATCAGGAGAATGAAGAAACATGACAAAAAAAGCAAGATTCGAATAATATATTGAATCGGGCACGTTTAATTAATTTCCATCAGAATAAAGATAATAAACAATGGATATTAGTACCAGCCAATAATCAAACATTAGCTCCATTCTTGCCAAGTAATGAAAGTAATTCAGTTGAAGAAAAGAACTCATCGATAATACGGATAATGTAAATGAGTGTAAATGAGCAACATATATTAACACCGGCTAATAACAAAATGTTAGCTTTGTTTCATTCTTACGAAAACAAAATTTATTCCTAGATGATGATATTATTTCAAGATTTTGAGATTATTGGCCGCGACTTTTGGACTTGCGGACATTGCCAAGACGCTCAATAATCAGAGTAAGTAGCTATAAAATTCTAAGATTCTTTACTTCGTAAAGCTTAGTCAATTGCACCATGATGTAAAAGTATCATACCAACTCGTTTTTATTATGTTAAGGACAAGAAACATTTTTGTTACGAATTAACATGCATAAGCAATATAAAGTAGGCTTTATATTAAGTTTTACGTTGATATTTGTGGCACAACTAACTTAAACTATAAGTAAAGAGTTCATTTGCTTGCGCAATTCATAATTGATACCACCTCTTGCTGCCTTTTTTCACATACCTTTTTTACGCGCTCAACGCATTTCCATTACTATATGTCTAGATAGCTATTAAGCTTTCTTATTATCGACAAAATTGTCAAGCCAAATTAGCTGTAATTTTAACTCGCTGGTATCACTTTTTTTACAACATTTCTTTGGACGAAATATAAGATTAGCTTGTTGTATATCTTGTATTTTTAATAATGCAACAGTTACCTCGATCCTATAAAAAGAAATTTTGGTAAACAAATTTTGTTCATCAAATCATCACGTGGTAACTATAACAAAGCGTGCCACATATTTTCTATAGTAATATAATAATAGTCTTCAAACTACAAAATTACAATGAAAAAATGAACCAACACGGGCCGGCTCAACACCAACAGCGCACGTTTCAAGACGAGGCAATGCTCTGGTATAGGTCACTTCCGCCAGTGACAAAGTTCTTATTCTCCTCTTTTGTGATCGAAGTTTTAATTGGGACAGTGCTTGTGGATTTTCAATATTTGGCGTTCATACCAGGCAATGTGCTAAAGGTGTTTAAGCGGAAGAATGGGAAAGGAGTCGAGGGAGAGGGAAAACAAATAGAATTTAACGCAAACAAGGAACAGAGAAATGGACAATTTACACCTTTTTTACCCGTATTCAATTTATTTTTAATAGATACGATATCCCGAAGCCTGGAGACTATTTACAGCATTCTTCTTCCAAAGCTTTGGATTGAGTTTTGCTTTCCAGCTATATTTTCTATATAGATATTCCTTCGATCTCGAAACGTCGAAATTTGCAGGACGCCCCGCCGATTATGTGTTCTTCCTTCTGTTTGAGGCCGGATTGATGCTTGTATCCTTTCCGTCATATTTGTCATAGTGATTTTGTTGAGCGATCTGTGCTGTAATGTATTTAATGCCTGAGCTAACCAAGAGGGGAAGGTGTTGGTATTAGTAAACAAGTTCAATCTCTATCTTTTTAGTTCAGAGTCATACGTCATCGCGCTCGATTTGTCTATTTTGTTCTTGACCTACAACAATTGATCTTTCTCACTCGCAGATAATCGCTGGATTCTTGATACCAGCCGGATTTGATAGACTATTTTTACTTAACGTCTCGCTGGTAATGGCAATTGTATACACATGGTCACAATATAACAGAGATATGACGGTCACATTCTTCTTTGGCCTGAGATTCAAGGTGCTTCTTTCACTTCCTTCCTTCACCCCTCTTGTCCATCTACTCATTTATATAATGATCATCTATTACAGCTTTTACCTTTCTTTATAAACCTCTCTGCAGGCACTGTACTTCCCTGCCGTTCTTCTTTTATATGAATTTCTGGTTCTCCAGGGTCATGTACCCTGGGATATGGTCCTGGGTATAGGAACTGGTCACGTTTACCATTGGCTTATGGAAGAATATCCCGCAACTGGGGGTCGTCGATGGCTAACCACTCCAAGTATATTGTACAGATTCTTTCCGAGTACAAGTTCGTCATATAGTCGACCATATGGTGCTGCGTATACGCGACCAAGCAGTCGAGAAACGAATCAGAGCGGTCGAGAACATAATTGGAGTGGGAGAGGTTATAGGTTGGGGTAGTAGATTTGCGAAAAAATAAGGCAACGAGGGTGTGGCTTAAGGAGGGTTTAATTAACGTTGTCGTAATCGATTGCATGTTTCCTTTGTATAAAATGTTGGATGGTATACCAAGTTGTATATTATTTGAGCGATGTCTGTTAGGAGAGACTTAAAATACGCTAATCACAACTATTGAACTGGTTTTCGAGTCCATTTCACAGCATTGCAGTCCAAATAGTTTGAGTACATACGGTAATTGAAAATAAATAATGAAATACCCGAGTATTGCATGGAACGAAAAGCTATTGATGGGTATTATCTATTTATTTTGTCACACTGGTGTAAACCATTTCTCTCTACATTATCGTTAACTCTTCCTCGCTCCCACTATATTTATACTTAAAATTTTTTTCTCTTCGTTGCCGATTACTTTGCTGTGAATTGGCACTTTATAGATGCAAATCAAAACACCACCTTTGCCAATCAATTGATGGTAAATGTGAAGCTTGAGTCTTGCATATGACTTTTGTGGAATAAAGCTTTTGAATCCTCGACGGATTTTACCGCTTTAACTGTTTCTCAATCTAAGCATTCGATTGTTTTTTGGTTTTGTCGGTTCGTGTGGATTTCATTGTTCTATGTATTTTCTATGATCCCCCCTTTTCGGATATGTCTTCTATGTTGTCTGAATGCATGTCGCCAAAACGACGGCTTTAAAGAAGTTACTTTACCACGCATACATGTAAAGCTTTACATTTCCTTGGCCGATAAGTTCTCCAGATAAAAAATGCCATATCTATATAATTTTTGTATAATTATCACCTTTTCACTCGGATAATACGTCGAAGGTCGAGTTCCGCTGTGAGTCGACTACAATTATTCATATCTTCGCGTTAGCGGTAACTTTTCCTATGATTGTGACACAACTGTATAACCTCCCAATCATTATCAGATGTGCGATCCATCTTTAAGCTAATCCTCAAAACTCAAAAAGAAAAAAAGTCAAAACACATCTCTTTCCCCGATTTATTACATCATGGCTATTCCTCCAATCGTCGGTAAACTAAAGAAAACAGTTATTTTGGATCTTTCTATTGCTTTGGGTCTTGGAATCGCTGGCGGTTATGCATACTGGTATGGTTATCATGTACCAGCGGTTAAGAGACGAGAGGATTATAAGCTTAAGCTCAAACTGGGGTCTCAGCAATAATTACGAGATAAGAGAAACTGGAATTTTGGACTGAATGATAGAGACATGGGTGAGTAGTGTCGGGGGTCGTTGTTCGAACACAAAGTATAACGTGCTTGGTAACGTGTGGGGAGATATTTGGAGAAAGTTTCTAATAATTCCTTCAACTAGGGTCACTCGTCAATTGCTGTCATTTAACCGCCCCTTTCTTCCATCTGTCTTCTCTTGAAAGTCATCAGTTGTATGGATCAACAAACTATGGTTATGTAAACTCGTAATAAAACAGACGTTGCAATAATATGAATGCCAACTATGAATAATGTATCGCATCAGAGTTTACGAATTTTGTCTCGATTTCATCAATTCCAATAGTTTGCACGGCTTTCGAATGTAGATATCGATAGTCCAATATTATCGATAACACGCCAGTTTCTTGTATAATTAATTGATATCGTTCATACAGCGTATTATTTACTGATCTGATAATGATCGAGCTGTCCATTACCGTATTTGCTTAAGTACCATTCTCATTGACATGCTTATGTTCTAACCATTATCTACCATCCACGATACCTTTCGCATGCCGTTCAATACAATTAATATTTTGTCAGCTTTAGATTATTCCATTTTAGAACAGACGCATGTTTAATAATCCAAACTATTATACAGTATAAGTGTATTTAATATTATATTGTTCATTCCACGGTATACACGTACAATTACAGCGTGTAGTTGAGCCGTCTGGTTTCTAACATACTGAATAATTTGCTTAATAATACTCATACTTGTGTCCACGTTTGAGTAATGTGTATAAATATTAAATAATGAATTGTATCAGAACAATGGGTTTAAAATTTTTATGGTCAAATTCAAATAATTATCGCATTCAATAAATATATATTAATTTGACACATTGTTCTTGCCAATAGTTTTTCTCACAAGAGTCTATCTATCAATAATTTGGTAATGTTATCAGGCTGGAGATTGTTATTCTATATTTAATTCAACATTTTCACTCCTTTGGTTAAAAATTTATGAACATTTATAAAACCAGAAAATCAAAAACTCTCATCTACCTTAATGTTAATTATTGCAGATGTTGTACCTCAGTTGGGGACCTGTCTCAGTCCAGAACTCAGTTGTCTCAGTCCAGAACTGAGACAGGTCCCCAACTGAGGTACAACACAGATATAGTGTGTCACGAAAAACTATTGATAGTTTTGCTAAAACTGTTAGAGTAATAAATGAGCTTCATACTTTATTTAATGGTTTATGAGCAAAAGTTTTATTGCCATAGATTTAATAGTAATAGAGTATTATTTTTTTTTTCACAAATAAATCTCTCTGTGACATCAGAATAAGATCACCATTATCTAACAGGCATTATTAAGTATTGTGAAGATGTGCCCATGAGATTTCAATTTTTATAGGATCTTTATTGACAACTACAGAGAAACTGCTAAAGCTGTTTTTAGACAGCTAGTACATGAGGAAGCATATGCTAACTACATTACTAACTGAATCAATAAAGAAACTTGGCCTAATGCCTGGTGTAAACACAATGTAAGAAGCTAAATTAGAAAACCACAGAGGGAAAAACTAATTTAGCAAGGGAGAAAATAAGTGAGAGGCTATGTCCCACACTTGTGAGCAGGACAGGGAGCAGGAAGGTTAGTGTTGGATTCCTGAGGCCAGTGCCCATGAGATTTTGGGAATGCATAGAAATTTTAAACAATCTAGCAGAATCTCGTGACAAGATCGCCAGGATACTAATAGAAATTTAGCAATTTGTTGGTGACATCATGACGAGATATTTGCAATATTTTCTATTTTCTGATTGTAAATGTCACATGGTTATCAGCACAATATCCTGCAAATCTCATCAAGACATTTTTAAAAAATGCAAGTTTCTGTAAAGTTGGCATAAGATATTTTGGTCAAGAAAACATATCTTACTTACTAATAGCATTTAAAACCCAAATCCATCAAACTTTTGATAGCTTGCAGGCCCATGGTGTGTACATTCTCACGAAATAATATGATTCTTTACAGAAACTTGCATTTTTTAAAAATGTCTCGATGAGATTTGCAGGATGTTGTGCTGATAACCATGTGACATTTACAATCAGAAAATATTGCAAACATCTCATCATGATGTCACCAACAAATTGCTAAATTTCTATTAGTATCCTGGCAATCTTGTCATGAGATTCTGCTAGATTGTTTAACTTCATAAAATTTCCATGCATTCCTGAAATCTCGTGGGCACATCTTCACAATACACTAAAATTAGAATCCTCATGGCAATCTCATTACATGATGCCTGTTGGACAGTGGTGATCTTATTCTGATATCACAGAGAGATTTATAAAAACTACAGGTTTCTGTAAAGTACTTATGTGTAGGTTCATGTTTTCTTTTTATTTTGTGTTCCAATAGTAAAGCAAGATGAAAAAAGTAAGTTAGTGGTGATAAATTCAATTTGTGTTTTGGAGACACATGCACCAAGTGAGAATAATGAGGTGGTGGGCAGACTGCAATGAAGCATTAATAGAAAGGCATTATTTAAAGCTGTCCCCAATGCCTAAGTCAAAGTATCTGCCAGAACGGCTGCCAACAGCATGTTCTCCAACTTGGCCACTTGTGCCTGATGTGCCACCCCTTGATTTTGCCAGAACTCTGTCTTTCTCCTCGGTGGCCTTGTCTAGCTTGCCTTCCGCCTCCTTCAAGCTCTCCCACAACCCTTTTAATAATTGATGCATGCAGGAGGGCAATGCGAAATCTGAGACTATTCTGTTAGCAGAGCACTAAAGTTTCCCTTGTATGCTTATGCTTTGAACTACAACTTGCTGCTACAACAACTACCAGGAGTTATGTAAATACCAACTGTCTTGGCTGTCAGTAATACTGTATATAACAGTTACATTACCATGTGAGCTTCCCATTACAGTACCTTATGAGAACAAGCTGCATTACTAGTCATGAAGAAATGTGCTTCTGACTAACCTCTTTCATTATTACCTTCGCAATATGATGGTATATTGAGAAATTGGGACGTTATAGTATATACTGTATAATAAGTATATTATAATGATCTCGAACGCGAAAAATCAATTTTCGTCGTCAAGCAGCATTAAGACAACAACCGAGAATCCAATGTTCATGAAGCTTATACGTTTGGTAAGCATAACTGTTGCCAACGTGTGCGCAATGAGTTCACCCATAATATTATGTACGATTTGAATTTGGATATACCGCTTGGCTTGATTATTTGAAGACGCGAAATCAATTTTCGTCGTCAATCAGCACCAAGACAACAACCGAGAATCCAATGCTCATGAAGCTTATACGTTTGGTAAGCGTAACTGTTGCCGCAATGAATTGACCCATAATATTATGTACGATTTGAATTTGGATATATCGCTTGGCTTGATTGTTCGAAGACGCGAAATCAATTTTCGTCGTCAATCAGCATTAAGACAACAACCGAGAATCCAATTTAAATTTCTTTATTATTAAGCAATAAAGCAATAAATGTTAATTAAGCAGGTCTACAATATTTGTTGACGGTGTTATTTGTCATTGCTATTTTCATCTTCATACGTTTTCTTCACTAAACTGAATAGGTAACCTGTTCTTCGGTTGTAATAGCTAGTTACATCACATTCAGATTAAATCTGTTTGTGTTTCATGAATATGTAAATTTAGAGAAAACAGAGGACGAGCACTAAAATAAAAACATAATAGCTCCAATCCTGTAATTGACATAATTTTAGGTTAATCAAAAAACAGAATTATTCATGTGGGAAAATGTGACTCACTTGAGGATCAG